AAACACCATGGAGAGGTCACACGTATAGTAACGGGAATCACCATGAAGAGGTCACACTGTAGTAACGGTAAAACAAAATGGAGAGGTCACTCTATAGTAACGGGAAACACAATGGAGAGGTCACACGTATAGTAACGGGAATCATCATGGAGAGGTCACACTATAGTAACGGGAAACACAATGGAGAGGTCACACGTATAGTAACGGGAATCACCATGGAGAGGTCACACGTATAGTAATGGGAAACACCATGGAGAGGTCACAAGTATAGTAACAGGAAACATAAGGGGGGTCACATTTTGTAACGGGAAACATAAGGGGGTCACACTTTGTAACGGGAAACATAAGGGGGTCACACTTTGTAACGGGAAACATAAGGGGGTCACATTTTGTAACGGGAAATATAAGGGGGTCACACGTGGTAATTATGTATAATGATGGGAACACGTCAGTATACATAATTACTATGATACCAGGAAGTATCACGATAGGGACTACATTTATGATACAGGACACTGGGGTTTTTAGACTTCAAAGTGTGTATTGGCTTATCGTGTTTTAGTTTATTTTGTTTGGCATCGTTTTACTTTTGTCAGACAATTTAACGATATGGTATAGATGGAAAGGTCAAACTGTTTACCGGTAATATATTAATATATAGAAATAAGGAGGATTTTCCCCATTTTTTCTCTCTTTAATACAATGCTTTGTACGTTGTATCGATATTTCAGGAACAATATACGGTATCTATTAACACATTTAAAGTCGATCGCGGGAATAAAAAGAGAAGTGGAGCAGACTGTTTCACCTATTATTTTGTGCCAATTTTTAAAAACATTGAGCTGTGAAATAAAAATCAGCTTTTACCGCGTAGACGACGTGACATTATCGTCCCTGAGGCAAAACATGATATTTCAATTTAAGGCTAGCCCAAGCTATGACAGTCTATCATTTGTGAGTGAGCGAATGAACGCTGGGGATGACGATGCTATGTACCAAAAAAAAATCACGTCTGTTATCATATTTTGCCTATTTGTACTCCTACAAACATTAGATTGAATTAGATTTAAATATTATACACGTATCAATTTTTAAACGATAAATCATACTCAGTAAACATAGTATATTTTCTAAAGTATGAATAATAATCCTGTAAAATCATCAATTTTCGTGGGTGATTTATTTTCTTCGAAATCAAGTGTTAACAATTTTTTAACCACGAAAATTGAGAACAACAAAAATATATACTTTTACAGTAAGGTTAGATTTTGAGACATGATGCTCTGCTTTATAACCTTTCTGTAGTTTCATAAATTGATACAAAAGGGTTCTGAATAACAGCTGTTCATAAACCACCGTATTTATTGATCCGTTACTATTTATAGACATATTCTGATAACCCTTCAAAGGGTACATCTATTTCCTTGAGCACCGTCTCCATAAAGTTCGCTTGTCTATTCAGATAAATTCTAAATTTGCTTGTTTCTAAAGCAGGATTTCATGCCATATAATTCGTCACCTTGGTAACGATTCACGACCAAGTCTATAAAGCTAAGTTTCGCTAAATAAATCATGATTTTACCGAGAGCGTTATCGTCCAATCGCTGAAACCCGGCTACTTATAGTTTTGTGACTTCGTCGTGTGGACATTTCTATCATCTTATCCTCTGACGGATTTCTATAAACCCTTGCTCTGAAAGGATTCCTCTCCAAATGCTCAATCGGTAACCAGACATGCGAAATATCTGAGATCACCAAATGTTAAAGTTCACAACTTATAATGACGTCATCAATTTATGCAGAAAATAAAACAAAAACATTCTAAACAATAAGTGTTTTCACCTGTTCGAGGTTTTGCGTTTCCTACGTCATGAAGTTGTGTGTATCCGCATTTAACCATTTTATCATCCTATTTGAAGTCAGTCAGAACATTCCGGAAGTTCCTCGTACCACTAAGCTTCTGTTTTTGTACATTCTTGGGTATTTGTTTTTTAAACAACTGTGTAACAAAGAGTCAAAAGAAATGGCATACGTAGACATTTTGAAAAAGACCAGGTGTTCCAGAAGAGTAAGTGTCTTCTGCTTCATCGACGACACCCGGCTTGTAAGTTTTAGTCAATCCAAGTAAGTAATGTCATGTTCTCAAATGAGAACAAGGTATACAACAACGGAACCAACAGGTAGACTTACGAGTCACGAAAAAGAACATTTAACCAAAGATTATGGCGACGATCGAAAAATATCCTCACAGCTGTTATCAACCGGAATCTTGTATTTGAAGCTTTTTTTCAGCTGTATTGATACCTGTCAAGGAAATTGCAGTGTTGGGGAACAAGTCAACGAATATCAAATTAAATGACAATGAAGAAGGTCGCCACCGGAAGCATAATTCATTAAAAAAATAAAATAATAAAGTTTGATACAAAAAAAAGTAACTAGAGGGCAGAACATGACTTAGAAATAAAACGAAAAAGGAAACAAACAAAAAAAACGTAGTATTGAATATACTAACGTTACATGGAAATAAATACATGTAAAATGTCATATTCTGGTATATTCTGAAACTGGGTGAAATATGATTGAACTTATAAGCAAAGTTTTTGCCCAACACTAGCTATATCCTCAATATCATTAGATAGACTGACTATTCACTAACTTTCTGATATACGGGTCATTTCAGTCTTGTCTAAAAAATGAACAGGTCTAAACAGTTTTTCACTGAGAATAGGAGAAGAGATTATTTATTTTTTGGAAAAACAACTCTTAAAAACGATTATAAGCTAGGCAAAAAACGAATGAATAAATAAAAAAGCAAAGCACCCCCTCCCCCTCCTAACAATGGGGGAAAATATCTTTTAAAAATCTACAAAATGGACGGGCAAGACCAACTCTAGGGAATTAACAACGTTTTGAAGAATGGGAAGAAAATGTGTTATTAAAAAAATGCTCTGCGGCAGCATACAGCATTTGTTTAATCAATTTTTGCAAAACGTATTTTCAAAAATAAACACATATATCAAGCCATATAGGGTTAAAGTACATGATGGCGGAGACCTAAGCCTTGTCAGTGTACATTAAATGTATATGATAAATCTGGCCATTTATCAATAGGTCTCCGACAGTCAAAACTTTAAATAATTACCTAAATGGAAAAACACCACTGTCTGTCGTTCTGAAGATATATGGATGTTACAAGGGAAAACAGACTTCAAAACAGACATCAACATGATGATAGGAAACCATATTTAGTCTGAACAAAAATTCAACATTTAATCAGACGAAGTCACCTATCGATTAAAGATGATAACATCTATTGACTTAGAGATAAATCTTCAGCACAGAATCTTCAATAATCTCATGTTCGCTCTTCTAACTAACTCTAGATCCAAACATTTGTTTAAATCGTGTGTCTAAACCCGTTCAATTTGCACCGTTTATATATATGATGAATATTCTGATGAAAAGAACTTTATAAAAGTTTTTTTTTAATATCGGATCTATATCGCGGTATTTAATTTCAATGAAATTCTAATTGTATGACAAGTATACGTCCTTATCTCTACTTAACGTTTATGTTGATTTTCCTATTTTGTCTACTAAGGGATTCCACACTTAAGGCTCCTAGCATCAATGACGAGTCTTAGAAGGACGAAACAGTAGTATGATGTAGCATCACTAACGAGTCCTAGAAGGACGAAACAGTTGTATGATGTAGCATCACTGACGAGTCCTAGAAACAGTTGTATGATGTAGCATCACTGACGAGTCCTAGAAGGACGAAACAGCTGTATGATGTAGCATCACTGACGAGTCCTAGAAGGACGAAACAGTTGTATGATGTAACATCACTGACGAGTCCTAGAAGTACGAAACAGCTGTATGATGTAGCATCACTGACGAGTCCTAGAAGTACGAAACAGTTGTACAAAGTAGATTTTCTCATTATTCGGTTATGATATATAAAATTTTCAAATTTGTATCCAAATGTGTCATTAACTTATGTGTCTGTCGAACATACAATTTTAATATGATTATCATTTTGTCTTTGAATGCCTGTTTAAAAATAATTCAAATTTGTAAGATACAAACGTGTTCGAAAACGCTTCAATATTTCTCAGGACAAACCCGGATAAAGTAAAATCGTATGTACGACTACAACAAAAGGAAAGAGAGAAGAGCTACAACATAGTGATAAACAGATATACCACCAGGAAGTCATCGACCGACTCAAACAGCCGCACACTACAAAGTACAGATGCACTTCAGTACAGGTTTAACTTAAACAATGACACGTATTGTAGATAGATCCGGCTACTTTAATCCGAATGTCGAATGATGGCGACCGGTCATCCTGTTTCATTATCTCTAGCCAAAGTTTCCTATTTTCTATAAGACGTCGTGTATTTCAATGATTATCACTAGGTTTGCGGATGTGCGTAAGCAGTTAATATATTATTTATGAATAACCTTGATCTTCCTCAAGGCTACAGAAGACATGATTAACAAAATATTTACAAAGCTTTTTCTAAAGATATGTACGGCATGCATTTAAATAATGTTTACGTCTGACAGTTTTGCTGAGGATTAGCAAAACTTTATGCTGAAGCAGTCACGGTATGCAACATTCCTGGTGATAATTTATGTTGTAAATATCACAATAAAATAATGCTTGGCATTCAAAAATTCAAAAAAGCCGGTAATGATTTCCTTGTGTTGAAGGACTGAATTGCACGCCAATGCACGTGCAAACTTCTGCGTTTGTTTGTTACGAGATTATGTTGTGTACGTTACGTATATGTATCTACCTCATTGAAATGTTTGTATGTTTATAGGTTGAAATGTTTCTATGTTTACAGGTTGAAATGTTTGTATGTTTACAGGTTGAAATGTTTGTATGTTTACAGGTTGAAATGTTTGTATGTTTACAGGTTGAAATGTTTGTATGTTTACAGGTTGAAATGTTTGTATGTTTACAGGCTGAAATGTTTATATGTTTACAGGTTGTCCAGATATGGTTGCTTAGCGACCCACTGTGTGATGCCTGGGTCGCATCTGACGTCATGGCGTGTACAGCCTCCATTCTAAATCTCACAGCCATAAGTGTGGACAGGTAAGTCACTTCCGCAAGCACATTTTAGAATTAATCATCAACGATCATCAACGATCTAGTCTCAGTATTCATAATTGAGAATAATTATACAAAAATGGATTGATCTTAAAATTGTAAAGCAAGTATGATTTTTTTCATTACTGTGAATTATTCAATTTTCGCGAGTGATTATATTTTACGTTTATTTTCGAGTAACGACATTTGCGAATTGAAATACCTTGCTGATTTTGTCCTTACATAGATATTTTTGTAGTGTAGTAACAGTGAAATCATGTTTCGCGAATAAGACAATCGCTTGCCTTTCGGTAAATTAGATACTCGCTAAGATAAGAGATTTACAGCGAATGTTTGCTGTACAGTGTTGTTAAACTAGAAAATTCCATTTTTCCCCTGTTTTATATTTATATTTTGTACCAGTGTTAATCTGGTTTGTATTCACAAGACAAAAAATACGATGTTATTTTAACGCCATGTAAATCGACGTTACGCCAACACTTCGGTCGTCACCTCAGATAACACACACTATAGCTTAATATCAATCATTTAGACGATCATGATTTTCAGAAAGCTCTTCCAATAAATAAACCTGCTTGAAAAAAATCTTTATTTCTAATTGTTAGAGACATTTTATATAATTATCTAAAAAATATCTTCAATGTTTCTGTTTAACGGCTCTTAAATTAACAGAAGCAACCCTAATTCTTTGCCATCCATATTATATTCACAGTTCCAATAGACGTGTTCAGACGACTGTTCCACAGTTAAAATGTCAAGAAAATTTAGCGCATTTGGTCACTTCAGAGACATGTTTTTTTTTTTTTTTGCATATAAAATTTTGAATGATTTTTAATGTTTGATCGTGTAAAATGTTTTATAATTTATGTTTTTATTTTTCTTATATATTGCAGATTTATAGCCGTTACACAGCCTATAAAATATGCCAAACATAAAAATTCCAAACGTGTTTTTGTGACGTTAGCTCTGTGTTGGATTATCTCGGTTGCCATAGCAGCACCAATCGCGCTTGGTGTTAATTATTCCGAGTTACGTAAACCAGGGTATTGTACATTTTTCAATGCTGACTTCCTCATTTACTCTTCAATGGGATCCTTCTATATCCCCTCGTTAATAATGATATTTCTATACTGGAGGATATATCGTGTACTTCACCTGCGAACACGTGCACAAGCGAGATCAAAGAAAGCACGACAAATAAAGCATGAAACATCTGCAACTAATGTTATAGCTAATCCAGCGACTGTGACTGCAATTAAAAGTGAGCCGACCGTTACAACCGGCCTGGCCAAAAGTGTGGATAACGGTAAGCTCGCCACTTATAACACAAACGACAAAAACAACCAAGCCAAACTGTCTATTCCGATCACAGAGTCCGACGACGTCTCGGTCACAAATGTGGGCACAAACACCGACTCTCAGTCGAGTGAACGATTCAACGAAGACGAAAAAGTGCCAAAAACACCTATAAGTGACGGTGAGGTCGATATAGACGATGATAACGGCGACGAAAAAGGTAGTGGTGCGCTAATAGTTAACAGGGTAGCCGTGCGAGAGGTGGAGGTGCAAATTGGCGGAAACGGAAATGGTACTTGTAATACAACACTGTGTACGGAAAATGAGACAAAGTTCGGAACGCCTGTACAAAGAGTGGTTATAGACCAAGCTAGTGATGATAATGTTTGTATAAGATCACCAGGCAGGAAAGGACTTCCTCACCGCAGAAAGGAAAAGAAAGGGGGAGGGAAATTCCACTTCCACATGCGCACGAGCCGAAAAAGGAAAGAAAAATCGTCATCAAAAAGAGAAAAAAAAGCAACTAAAACACTAGCTATTGTATTAGGTAAGTAATATATATTGTGTTAGATAAGTAATATATATTGTGTTAGGTAAGTAATATTTATTGTGTTAGGTAAGTAATATATATTGTGTTAGGTAAGTAATATATATATATTAGGTAAGTATTATCAATACGTCGGTTGCTTCCTTTCAATTACATCCAAATGTTAGCATCTCCTGAACCGATCTATTGGTTACAAATTCAAAGCGAAAAAATTTGTTTTTGATTCAAAGAAAATTAACCTTCACTGAGAACATTCTTGAACAGATAAACCAGTATTATTTGTTTATATGTATGTTAGCGTTCATTAAAAAAAGTCTGATTTTGCATGCGATTACTCCAAATAAAAACAAAACATAAGTGACGTATCAAAGAATGACGTCACTTTTTTTCTGCAACATATCTTTTTTTTTTCGTCTGTATTCTAACATTTTCTCGTTTTGTAGTCGATCAGAATTCTTTAACCAATAAAAATACGTTTATTCTGCTTTGACTAAATTATATCTTAATCACTTTTTTCTCGTTGTAGGTGTTTTCCTATTTTGCTGGGTTCCCTTCTTCACAATAAACATCATTAATGCGATATGCATCCGTTATGAACTCTTTAGTAGCCCTATGTGTAATATAGATAACTTCCTGTTTAGTTCTTTTGTCTGGCTGGGTTATATAAACAGTTTTCTCAACCCAGTCATCTACACCATATTTAACCCTGAATTTAGGAAAGCTTTCAAGAAAATCCTCACAGAGAAGTGCTAGCGAAGAACCAGATGATGTGGAGCGAATGTGTAAGATTGTGTCCAGTGGTACTAGAGAGAACACCTCTAAATGTTTATCTAGAATTTGTTTATTTATAAATATCACCATGCACATGTAATAGTATGTTTTGATATTGTCATCAAACCACCTTAGCTTCTTTTTAACGGAAAAAAAAAAAAATTACCTGTTATGCTCTGATTTTTTTAGGATTTACGCTACAAACATCGTCAAGTTAATTGAAATAATTTTATCCTCTCATAAAAAAACGTTTTATTCTTCATGTATGTATTGGGATAATGAAGTAAAAATAGCAGACAAAGATGTTGTGAATTTACTGTAATGGACTGGGGCCAGTAATTCTAACTTTTAAATCGTGTGCGACAGTGAATTTGTTTGTTTTAGAATACTGATGCCAAAACGTGGTTTTTGGGGTACTAATATTTATCACTGGAGGAACAATCTAGTTTTGTAAGCATTTCACTTATTTATAACGCGTAGAAAAGCACTTGTGACATTCATGTGAATTTCTGTTTCAACATTGACACTTCCGTTTCAAAATCAACCGTTCCGTTTAAATATTATCACGTCACTTCCGTTTAAAATATAAACACCTCAGTTTCCATAACGATATTACTGTTTCAGATTGCGATATTTTTATTCAAATTTTGCTTCAATATGGACATTTAATGGAATATCAGTTTACATTTGATGAAATATCAGAAGAAAATGTTTGGCAATCGTATTTGTTCCACTTAATCATGTATTTGACAAAGTGAAAGTTCGCCCTGGATACAATTTATCTCACAATGTGTTGAAGTACCTAAATATATTTGATGTAGAAATTTGTGTTAAATGTTCAAAGAAATCTTTAAGTGTGTATATCTTAGTAACTGGAAGCCTTAAATATATAGGAAGGAATTTAAATGTTTGTAGTTGTGAGCAGTATGGATTTTGAAGGGTATTTTATGCTGAATACAGATAAAAATTGTCTCCATTTATTTAATTTGTCTTTCATTCTTGTATTTAAAAGATCTGTTCCTTTGAGTACAAAAAATGTATTTCAATATTCCATGTCAAGTATGTTTAGGTCTTACATTTAGTCGGTTGTGAAAATCAAGTTTTTACTTTTTGTAATATTGAGATAGAACGTTACACGATCACAAATTTATGATACAGCTATACCACGAATCTTTTAATATCATATTGTTTTGGTTTTTTTTTCGTTATGCAGAGTTATCTGCTCTTGTAAAAAAAATATGAATTGTTACGTCATAAGTGAGAAGAGTACACCAATTTATGACGTTTTTACCACAATCAATGACGTAACAATCAATACCTGCTCACAAGAGCAGATAACTCTGTATTAGCAAACGGAATTACTGTGAAGGTTGTTATTTTTTGATAGGTTCGAGTTTTCGCTATCTTCTAGAATGTAATAAAACCTGAAAAAAGATCAAGGGAAAATGAAATTTATAAAGGAAACAAATGTTTATTTCAACTTAAACCAATTTCATTGACAAAAGACCTTATTTAAGAAGATTAAACATAAGTCTTGTCTATTTATGTCCTTAATTGTCAATTGGCTGACTTCTGCGAAAAGCACATTGCATTTGTATCAAGATTTCGGTAAAATCACAAAACAAATCCCATTTACCGTGTTTAAGTCGACATTAATTTCACTTTTTTCTGTCGTTACGGTGATCATTTTTAAATTAATGCAAAACTTAATTATTTTCAATGGTATTCGTAAATTTCGGTGGTGTATCGATTTTTAACTTTGAAAAAGGTTGACATTTTTTTTCGCGTTTTTTTTTTTAATTATTATTAAGTTCCACCATTAACTTATAAATGAACCTTTTAAACATATCTGTTATCATTTTGGTTTTGAATCAACGACACTTCATTCACCAGATTGAAACCAAGACCTAACGACCATGATGTAAAAGTTTTAATGCGATGTTAACTTTTGCGTTGCGAAATTAATACCCTCGCGAAAATTAACAACTGTACAGAACAAACAAACCTGTTCTGCCTGTATCATAGAACTGTTTTGATGAAGTTGTCTTCCTTTCGTTATTTTGTTATTTTAATTGGTATGAAAGGAAAACTATGATCTGCTTTACTCAAAAACAATACTCAAAGTTATTTTAGTTTACGGTCAGTCGATCGGAATTCGTTTTGTTTTTGAATCCGAATTTTATATATAACCTCGCGTCAAAATGAACGTGCTGATGACAAAACGTCACCCATCGCACTGCATAAACCTTAACAAGAAGGATGAAAGATATATCCATTTTAGTATACCAACAGAAGATAAAAGAGGCGGAAATGTCGTTTTAAGGAAGTGGATGCTCAAACCTATTTACATTTTGTGTATTGAAATTATAAGTATTGGTATTCAATCTTTGTTCAATGTTGAATACAAGCTAAGAAATTGTGAAAATTAACGGGTTGTGTCTTTCAACTGACACAGACCTTGACAATGATTGACACCTGTCATGGAGAAATGTATTTCTTGTTACAAATGTTTGTGAACTAGGATTATGATAACATGTATAGAAAAAAGAGGTTTTGTATCAAAATATACATAATTATATGACGAAATATACCATTTCATATATCAATGGTTTTTTTTATGTATATGCAGTTGTGTTGTCTATGTAAACAACACAGACATGATGGTGTGATATATTTCCGGTCCCACAAAGTCTATTGTCGCGCCACCTATCGTACAGTTATACCTAAGTAGTCATATCGTTCGCCAGTATATATTGTTTACATATCGGTAGACAATATAAATAGAGAATGTAACAAATATATCAGATATATATATATATATTATAAAACTGTACATAATTTACCAGTATACGGGGACACAATAAAAGCACATGAATTTTACCTGTTGTTGAGAGTCTTTATTTAACGTTCCGCTGTGGTACTTCACTCAACTCGCCATATTTTCCAACTAATTTTTTTCGTGTGTTTTATTTGATCATATCATGAGTAACACTACAGGACAAGCTCTTAATGTAGATAATATGTTAATTTTAAAAAATCAACATTAAATATAAAGTATAAATGATATGTTGAACCTTTTTCTAATCAATTAAACTTTATTTATTTTACAACAATTGCTAAACAAGCTATTTCAAACTTATATTAATCGATCTTGTTAGTCCGGATAGGGGCGGGCGAGAGGTCTTATTTTAGATAGAACTCGGGGAACCCATGGAAAGCCCACGTGACCGGGCTGGAAACTCCTTGCCTTTTCATGTTCATTCCGGGAATCGAACCCAGAACTGCTAAATGAAAGGCGAGAGTGTTATCCCTACTTATCATGGCATGTTCGCCTACTAAGTTTAATAGAAATCAGTCGAAAACAGTGAGAGCAGATCTCCTGACAAGAATAACATTATTGAAAAAAACAAGGGGCAATAACTCTTATAAATACGACGGAACAAAACTGCAGTTTAGGAAAGTACAACTTCATGTCATGGCTATTTTGAAATAAATCGGTTGAGGAGATTTCCCACATAACCAAGGGCATACATCAGAAGATACGGGGTCATATGAAAACTCCGTGATGTATATCAGATCTGTTTGTTTCTTGTACGACCGTAGAAAATTTTAAAAGAATTGAACAAATAATTCAACATTCTTGCCTTTTCTACACAATCCCCAATAAAAAAGACGCTAAATTCTGTGACGAGAACACCTTGGTATGGAATATTATTAGAAAGTTTCATTTAATCGAAATCATAAACTAAATATATGAACCCCCGCCGTACTGTAGATACTACTTATTGTGAGTACGTAGTTTCATCATAGCTATTTCATGTCCTGTAATTCACGAGTTTATATATAATGAGAGTATATATGAAATAGAAATCAGAATTCATTATCAGTTATATGAAAATAAACCAAACAGACCTTAAAGCTGAAAAAACAGCAAGTCAAAAAAACCCGAAAATTTAGCAAAATTCATTTTTAGTCAAATAAGGAAAACGACCGAATCATATGTTAAATATTCAACGAAGGTATGGTCTAGATTATAAGTAAATTGGTCGTTTGGGAAAAAATATGGCTAAATGCATATTCTAACGCTGGAAAATATGCTAAAAGTTAAATCTAAAACCATGGCAAATATTATAAAATTACGAATCATTTGTTTTATTACTTCCTGGTAAACAACATCTCATAACAGGATCTATTTAAAAAAAATCAGCATACTTAATCGACTATATGACAACACACTCAGTAGGTTTAAACACAAGAACTAAACGCCGGATAAAAAAAATCAAACAAAACAAAAACAAACAAAAAATGGGTGAAGATTAAGCAATAAAAACTTGTATTATGGTGTAAACCAAATGTCAAGTCAATGGGATGCTTGGAAAAACTTTTTTACTCAAAATGCATGGTTGGAGCAGGATAAAATTGAGTTCATTATTGATATAAAAGGGGAATAACTCTATAAAAAGGCTGCAAAGCCATTTCACAGGGCCAATGTCCATGTTGTACTTGCAATTCTCATATTTAAAAAAAAAGTTCCGTTATAAACTGAGCGAATGCATAGCCGAACAAAGTTGGTCTACACACGGACGGCTCGACGGACGGACGGAAGGAAGGAAGGAAGGAAGGAAGGAAGGAAACAATAAAAAGGAAATATTAAAATGGCGCAGACATTTTAGCTTACTTACTTTTCGACAAGAATGTAATGACTATGCAGGTTAAATTAGGATAATACCTAAACTTGCCTTAAAGGAGTCAACACATTGCCAGTAAAACTCTTGTCACAAAATTTCTAAACTGCAGAAAAAAATTTTCAGAAAAAAATCAACAGCACAAGCAAACAATATTAAATAATAATAAAAAGCAATTAATCGACGTATATAACTGTAACATAAAACTTATGTACATAATTAAATGACAATATTCCGAAAGGAAATGAAATGCACGATTGATAATAAAAACAATAATAACATGGTAATTGTATTGTTGTTTTAGTCACTTACACCCAATGATAACATTTCCAAAAAAATTAATTAATTAAAATTAGAAAAAAAAAATCAAACTCATTTTGTAATTAACTTTGGAGGAATGTTCCTTTTCGATGTCGATATATTAGTGACTACCTGACAATATATACCTTCGCTTTTATCAAATGAAAATGGAAACATATATTATTGCAGTGTATTTGTTTTTATATATAAAGATATATGCAATATTTATACGTGCGAAAAGATAGACAAACACTATGCAATTATATACATTTTTCATTTTCATTTGATAAAAGCGAAAGGTATTTATTGTCAAGCAGTCATTTACACTAAAACTCGGGTGGTACGGAGCGCGACGAACCTGTGCATATCGTGGTCAAAGGCAGATAACTCTTACTATTTTTCTTGTATTCAAAATAGAGAACAGAAATACCGACTGGTATATCACATCGATGTTGTTTAAATACTCATGCTGTTGTTATATTAATTAGCCAGATATACTGATAATTAACTATGCTTTATATTACACGAGACCTAACAAGAAACCCGGTCAACTACACACACCTTGGGTAAAATCTATTTGATAATAGTTAAATTTTAAGTTGATAATTCTGTTGGTTTCCTTCATCCACAAACTCCTATGTCCACTAACATTTAAAGTTAGTAAAAGTTAATTTGATTGTTTATCCACGAAATCAAGTCTCTGCGAAATATGTATGTTTATTGAAAAAAACACTCACACACAAAAATTTAGTCCTAAGAAAATAGCATGGACAGGCATGAAATATATTGACAACGTGTCCTTCTTACACCGCAGTCATCAGTGTAAGTGTTGTGATGATTTTTATGTCACTTTTTGTGCTGAAAATTTCACCGTACCAAAAACTGTCATGTTCTTAATTTGAATCAGTAAGTGTTGTTCAGTACATGTGTTAATAGTATACAATTTTACCTACAGATTAACAAACATATGTACTAACAATACATTTTACAATTTTTTATACGTAATCTTTTTAGTTCCTTTTTCCGTCCTTCCTTTCGTTTGATTAGAAATATCCATTGACCTCACAATTTTTTACAATTCATTCTGTTCAGTAGACATTAGCTATACCAAATTCTCCGTCACTTTCTCATTTTTTACCTGCCTTTTAACACTAGTTAATCACATGGTAACTGTATTGTTACTCGATTAACTATTTGTTATAGTCTTTAAATAGTTACTGCGAATGTTGCTATTTTCAAAACTCGCGAAAAAAATCGCGAAACTATATCATTTTCTCAAGAAATACAGCCCGTTAGCGTCATTTTTTTTATTACAACCGCAAAAATTTGAACCATAAAAATAATCAACGCTTATTGCAAACCTTAAACATGCATCAAGGACACAAATGCATGGCACATATCGATAGATATTTAGAGATACATAAAGATATAAAGAAATAGTCAATTACAAGTCTTAGGTATCAAGATTTTGGAGAAACATGAAAATTAAAACCGTCGAAAAAAATTACAGTCGTGTGAAAAATAATGAAAAAATGTATGTAAAATTATTTGTGTTTGATACATAAAGATATAAAGAAATAGTCCACAACAAAAATTACATTAAACAAAATGTCATGCCAAGATTCACTTTTGTGTCTGTTTTACAATTTCTACTGACGAAAGTAAAAGAGCTCGAATGAATAAGAATGATACAGGCAACAAACATGTGAATAGATATTGTGTAATATCAAATGACTGACAAAGATTTTGGAGAAACATGAAAATTAAAACTTTAAAAACGTAACTTACTTTTCTCGAAAAAAAATACAGTCGTGTGACTGTATATAAATAATGATTTCAATACTTTCTTACTTTTTTTTAAAAAATTGTATGTCAACAAAAAATTACAATATATGTGAGGGCTGTCACTCACCACACATACACAAATTGTACACGTACATAAAGCATTGGAAAAGATATCAGACTTTATTTTGAAATACAGATTCGGCGTGGATAGGGAGTGGCGAGAACCGCCCCACTAACAACCATGTTCCATGTCGAATCTGTATATTCACAATACCATTTAAACTTCTACATTCTTGATTGATTGCTTTTAATTCTATCTGTCGCGAGAACGTCAATTACTTTGTAAACAGCCAATCGTTCGCAATGCCCCCCCCCCCAAAAAAAAAAAAAAAAAAAAAACAAAAAAAACAAAAAACAAAAAACAAAAACAAGACAACATGAACATGTCAATACAATTATAATCCCAATCCTAAGAGTGAATTTTCTGCCAAAGCGTCATTTGTATTGTTATAGGAAGCCGATGAGTAATGATGTTAGTCACGGTCAAAAAGGGGAGTAACTCAATTTTTAGTAAATACATTTTTCAGTTTGTTTCAAAGACAGATATATTGCGGACACCAATTGCGACAAAGAATCGAATACTAGTTACCTCCCCTTAATCAATATGTATGCCGAGTGTTGTATTATATATACGGTAATAAGAGCGGTCTTGTATACCTGATGGGTCCGTTGTTGTATACCTTGTTCTCCTTTGAGAACATTACATTATTTACTTTGACTGACCAAGGTTACAGGGCTGGAGTCGTCGATGAAACATAAAACGGTTACCCTTCCGGAACGTCCGGTCTTCTGTTGTTATGTTATGTTATGGTGATGACAGATGATGTTATGCTCAACGGTGTAGTAACTCAATTTTTAGTGGGAACTCTTTCGTGTGTATGAATAAAACGTGAGATTGAAATAAAACCATGAAAAAGACATGTGTTGCAGTGCTTCCCAAACAAAACACCAGTCTACAACGCAACATAACAATATTATTCCACTTTTAATATATAAAATGAGCGGGTTTATTATTTCCAGAAATATAAACGAGGTCTAACCATTACGAAGTTATTAGTTTCTCTTAAGTGTCATGCTCTTATAGAAATGGTTCGTTTTATTATACAAACCTTTACAATTTATATCGATAATATTAACAATCCTCCTACTGAGTTGCCTTTTCCATGTGTAGATATTACCAGAAGAATTTCTGCTTTCCAAACACAATCCATTGAACACTGAACATCCAGTTTTCCGTCCAGCTCTTGTGATAGAATCGATATGGTAACGAATTCGTTCCGTATAACTTAGTCCGTAAATTTTATACAACCTCTCGGAAGTTTCCAGGGGTCGCGCAGCTAGAGTCTCGTAGTATAAAGAGTTCATTCTATTATGGAACTTTGTTCTAAATCTCTCGGCTGTATCAATGTCCCGTGTTGTTGATTCACACTCAAATTTTGCAATAGAATGTGTGTTTTCGTTTAGGTTCACTCCAAATTTACCTAAAAATTGTAAATAAACCAATAACTATACGACAAATACCAAACGTTTGAACAAATACTTTACATATGTGTGTTAATGTAAACCTTCAACAGTTTTAATACTTTAAACAAGACCAAATTAAAGACATACAGCGATTTGATTTACTTAGTAAAAACAAACATTCTTTTTCTTTTAAATTAAATTTGTTATTATTAAAGTTTTCGCCATCAATATTACTAACACAGATATTTTCAATAAAATTTGAATGTAAAGAAAGTCTAAATCCTGATAGACGTAAGTTACATGCTTATAACACGATTTCTTAAATGAAATCAAATTATTATACATAATTGTAAAATGTCATTTTCACATTCCAGAAAAAACGTGACATCTAGATACTGAAATATTTGTCAATGTTAACATTCTTGTTATTTGGGGGAATCGAACCCCGAACGCTAATGTTAAAGAATGATGTGTTACCACTGATACACACGACCACCTATTACGATGACTACACTCTCATCATCAGTTTCAGTCACCAACATGAACACCATATTTCAAGAAACGCTTACTTTTTGAGTACAACACTGCTCTCGGGTCCCGTACCAGGTGTAGTACATGTAAGCTAGGATACGTCTCCATCAGACCACTGAGGTCCGCCATAGTTATTCTCACTGTTTTAATCACGATGAAACGCGACGTTTGGCACGCCAATTCGAGAATTCTCAGACATTTGGCAGCAGCTTGTTCTCTCGGGATTTTATTGTTTGATTCTTTGTCTACACAGGTTAAAAATGACGCATGTTTATGACTCATCCACTGTAAACCGTCGGTGAGAGTTCTGTAGTCCAGAGACCGGAAGTTACATGTCATATAGGCTTCAAGGACAGCTAAAGACCTTGCAATAAACGTATCATGGGTAATCTTCCTGCATGGAAAAGAAAAAAAGACAAAAACGTGCTCCAATAGACATACATGTGAATTACATCTTTAAATTCAAATATTTGATTTCACCCAAAATACTGTAAACCTAGAAATTACTACTAATTCGGCCAGTGCTATTTCTGTTTATACGGTAAAAATTGTGGGTGCGCTCTGTCATCATTGCACTCATTTTCCTTAAACGATATTGCTTTCAAATTTGATTGCACCAAATTAAGAAAGTTTACATTATTTAAAAAGAAGTCCGAAAGTCCGAAGATTTCGCGTCAGTGAGATACACGTACTGTAGTTTTACTAATAAAAAACAAACAAAACACACATAAAAAGTTAAATATCAAGGATATTTTCTTGAAAGGTCATTTATTTTGTTGATAAGGGGTAAATGATTTGATTTCACTGTCTTAAGATAAAAGATATTTCATATCAGTAGATTTGGACGGACCCGCCTCTTCATTGATGGTACGATAAACTAACAACACATTGAGATTAGGTAGTCATGTTTGATACAACGATTACCTACCAACATCTGTTTACTCACCGTTCAATAAACAAAATGTGTTCTGTACTGTATAGACATGTGGATCGATGGGGATGTGATTGTACGCCTTATTTATGTCAAATCTAAAGATTAAAGTCAGACAAATGAGAAAAAAATCTACTAAATCTTCAAGTCCACGATCTGATTCGCGATATCGACATTTTTATGAAAATTGGGACAAATCCTGGACTTACAGAAAATCCACAACATTGAAATAAACAGAATGATATTGATATCGCATCTTTATAAAAGCGATAAAATGCTTAAACGTGGATATAACTATAACCTTAACCCTAACCGACGATTTGTAAATGACATACAAGTTAGGGGCACGAGAGACACCGAAGATTATACAATAGACATACAAGCAAGGGAGGGACACAAGAGACACCGAAGATTGTACAATAGACATACAAGCTAGAGAGGGGCACGAGAGACACCAAAGATTGTACAATAGACATACAACATAGGGGCACGAGAAACACCGAAGGTTGTACAATAGACATACAACATAGGGGCACGAGAGACACCGAAGGTTGTACAATAGACATACAACATAGGGGCACGAGAGTCACCGAAGATTGTACAATAGACATACAAGCTAGGGCACGAGAGACACCGAAGATTATACAATAGACATACAAGCAAGGGAGGGACACGAGAGACACCGAAGGTTGTACAATAGACATACAAGCTAGGGAGGGACACGAGAGACACCGAAGATTGTACAATAGACATACAAGCTAGGGAGGGACACGAGAGTCACCGAAGATTGTACAATAGACATGCAAGCTAGGGGCACGAGAGACACCGAAGATTGTACAATAGACATACAAGCTAGGGAGGGGCACGAGAGTCACCGAAGATTGTACCATAGACATGCAAGCTAGGGGCACGAGAGACACCGAAGATTGTAGTAATTTAGAATGAGATACAGAAGAGCCAAATAGTTATTTAAACAAGAAATATGACCCCATCAAAAGCACAATCCAAATCATAAACAATTTTTTTTTTGTTTTGCCAATTCTGATTTTCGTTTTTGAATCGCCTTTTATGTTTCACAAGTTTCGGTCCTTAGTAATTGATGAATCCTAAAAGGACGAAAATGCTGCATGGTGCAGATTACTCATTATTTTGGCTCTATATCATCTAATTCTAAATATGTATCAAAAGATGCCATTGAATTTATACAATCTTATATATATATATATAATGTCGCCTATGTCGGTTAAACTAAATTTATTTTAAATTTCATTACCAGTACTGATATACATATATTTATATATCTGTCTCTCTCTGTCTCTCTCTGTGTGTGTGTGTGTGTGTGTCTCTCTCTCTCTGTCTCTCTCTGTCTCTCTGTCTCTCTGTCTCTCTCTCTCTCTCTGTCTCTCTGTCTCTCTCTGTCTCTTTGTCTCTCTCTCTCTCTGTCTCTCTCTCTCTCTCTCTCTCTCTCTCTCTCTGTCTCTCTCTCTCTCTCTCTCTCTCTCTCTCTCTCTCTCTCTCTCTCTCTCTCTCTCTCTCTCTCTCTCTCTCTCTCTCTCTCTCTCTCTCTCTCTCTCTCTCTCTCTCTCTCTCTCTCTCTCTCTCTCTCTCTCTCTCTCTCTGTCTCTCTCTGTCTCTTTGTCTGTCTGTGTCTCTTTCTTTCTCTATCTCTCTCTCTGTCTCTGTGTCTGTCTGTGTCTCTGTCTCTCTCTCTCTCTATATGTCTCTCTATATCTTCTCTCTGTCTCTCTCTGTTGATGTCTCTCTCTCTCTCTCTCTCTCTCTCTCTCTCTCTCTCTCTCTCTCTCTCTCTCTCTCTCTCTCTCTCTCTCTCTCTCTCTCTCTCTGTCTCTCTGTTCAGGAATATATTAAACACAGTGACGTAGTATCATCATCAACTTACACGGTGTCCCCATTAAGTAGTTGCATTGATGTCATATTGTTACTCAGCATACTCTCCAGCGCGTGGAGTGGCTCAAACACGTAAAACGATTGGACATCCTGTTGTATGACGTCACCGGTCAAGGACGAACCACTCCTTGAGTGCGAAAGAACGATGAGTTGTCGGGAGTATGGTGCAGACGATGTCACGTGACTACTGTCTCTCGGATAAGATGGCTCTGTGTAGATAATAGGTATTGCTATGACAAAAACGGTTTCTATTTCATACCTAATTTGTCACATTAAAAAGTGAAATTTATTTCCTTTAAATAGTAAAAGTGATTTTTCATCATATAGTATCTAGAATTGATTAAATATTTTACACACTTTCACTAAGCATTTTTTTCATATTCAGCTGTTGTACTTTGGTATGAAAGACACTTTAATCGCGTGAGGTGGTTGAGACAAAAATAGCCACTTAGGTAAATATCATACCTATCTTTAAGTGTAAACCCATTAGAATTACACAGTAAATGAATAGTCCTCCAGCAACTGAAACTTTACCGCAGTCGATCATCACCCTGGAATTCTGGACAGAAACGAAACATTGTTAGACCACGTGGCATAGATATTGTATCAATCAGAAAAGTAAGTAATATAAGCTGTAAGCTTGTTTTCTCATCCCATACGTGTTATATGTAGGTGTTGAATTGTGGAGTATTGAATAAAAATACTGTTTAAACTAAACCACTTTAAATATAGTTTTATTCATACAGTATTACGTTAAAAATTGATATAACCTAATATTTCAGAAAACACAAAAAAACATGAGACTTAGAAAAAGCTTTGAAATCCAAGATGGCGGTACTTCCTAAGCAACACCCCCTCCCCCACCAGTAACGTGTTATCATTACCCATATAAACTTAGAAGCTACTTTTCCATGGCACATCTATGTAAACGGATTACTTTAAACAATTCATGTACAACGATTGCGTTTTGAAATTAAAATTGAATATATTTGAATTCTACAAAGTAAGGACTTATATTAATACAATTGCTTCAATAATACGAACTTCAATAATACGAACTAACCGACATTACTTATCTCGATATCATCCGAAGTTCCCTTTATCTCGAAATTATTCGAAGTTCCCTTTATCTCGACATCATTCGAAGTTCCCTTTATCTGGAGATCTTTATCTCGACATCATTCGAAGTTCCTTTTATCTCGACATCATTATCTCGACAGCATTCGAAGTTCCCTTTATCGCAGACAAGAACGGGCGATGATCCGGGCACACAATGACGATATCTACTAATCCGTTTCAACAAGCGATGATAAAAAACGACCAGAAAGGTCGATGGTTGGCTAAAAAAAGCCACGAGAAACAGTCACCAGAAAACTCTATGGCCGACAGTGACAAGTTTGTTAACATATCCACTAATTTTCATGAAACGGAGGTGGACAGATCAAAACGGCAGGCAACATTTATTCTTAAGGGGGAGAGGGGAAGCAAAATGGCCGTCGGTCGTCTCGGTATACACTAGATGAAGGCCAATCTAACATCGTTTGACAGTGGCGACAGAATTGAATGATCAGCCAGAGGTCTTACCTGTATATGTTCCTTAAGCGTTCGAGGACAAATAAGAATTGCTGCAAGTCCTGGTTTGTTACATAACAGATGATTCAGAACAGAACGATCAAGTATCCCGTGTAGTGCCGAAGACGAATTACAATTGTCAAGTGTCGGAAGAGCTTAGGACGATCAGATCCCTTAACAAACACTGAAATAGACTAACTCAAGCGGAGATGAACGCATTCTTTGAACCAGATGGTGCCCTGTGTTTCATATTTTTTAAAGTCAATATTATTGAAGCTCTGTTTCTATCCGGCGATGTATTTTCTGTGCCTGTGATGTGCCTCCCTCGCGGCGAGTTGACTGTGACAGTTGTGTGCCTCGTCACGGACAGTATTGCTGTTCACTATGTATAAATTACAGACTGATATATAGGATTATATACTGTTACATTTTTTGTAGTCTCTACAAACTACACAATGGCGTCTCGATAGGGATTAAAACTATTGATATTCTGAAATGATATCTCATAAATGAAATACGAAATTGATTCACAAACGGTTTTACACCAGGAGTTCCATGATTCAGCAAAGTAGAAACAGAATTATTTCGTCCGAAATTTTTTTCGTTGTCTAAAATCACGAAAAACATTTGTCTCTTAGGTTTCAAATTGTGCCGTTAATCTTCACTGACGAGCCACAGAACGACGAAACAGCTGTTGGATGTAGCATCACTGACGAGTCCTAGAAGGACGAAACAGCTGTAGGATATATCATCACTGACGATTCCTAGAAGAACGAAACACCTATATGATATAGCATCAATGACGAGTCCTAGAAGGACGAAACAGCTGTATGATATAGCATCACTTACGAGTCTTAGAAGGACAAAAATGCTGTAGGTTGTATCATCACTGACGAGTCCTAGAAGGACGAAAAAGCTGTATGATGTAGCATCACGGATAAGTCCAAGAAGGACAAAACAGCTGTATGATGTAGCATCACTGCCGAGTCCTAGAAGGACGAAATAGCTGTATGATATAGCATCACTGACGAGTCCTAGAAGGACGAAAAAGCTGTATGGAAAGTTGATGTTAGATATTGTGATGACATCCGTATCAAATATCGACCCCCAGTACACCCCCGCCAACGCTAAAAATAAACACAATTGAAATTTATATATAAGAAATTTAGAGCAAAGAAAAAATATCATATGAATCAAATTGTATATTGAAACATAAGAAATTGAGAAATTCTAATTAACTTCACTGAAATTATGATTAAAGAATTTTCATGAAATTACAACGAAATGATATGATAAAGCTAGAATTTATTTATTTTTTCATCCGTTGAGAAATTATTGTAAGGTTAAGTAATAGATGATATAAAACAATTAGATCCTCCTCAAGCTGTTCCACTGAAAGACTTTTATACGATTCCTATCGACCATAAAACCGGTTTCAGATTATGATAAAAACAATAAGATATTTACTATCTGTCTTCGGCATCTGTAACGGAATACCGTCTCTAAAACATCCCAGCTGTGCCGTAGCGCGTAGATAATAAAAGCCAGCCACCATCAAGGTATTTTTTATTGTATTTTCATGAAAACATGTTTATTGTAACAACAGATGAAATATTGCTTTATTTCCTTTATATATCATTGATGTAATATTGAGGCAGCTGACAGGGAACGAAGTAATACTATCTCGGACATGGTCAAAATTTTCGCACTTTTTCAAAAAGCTTAAGTCAAAAAAGATTTTTTCAGATTTGATGAAACTGTCTGAAATTTTCTTTTAAAAACATTAAACGTAATAGGTGACTGGGAAGATAAGAGAAAAATCCTGGAACGATAGCAGACTTGAAGTTTTCGAGGCGCTTTATCATGCCTGGTGGTTTCGATATTGATTACCTTTGTTCTTATTTAGGAACGTGGCATTATGTACTCAGATTGATCAATGGTGGGTGCCATCAATTAAGAAATCTATTAAGGAAAAAATTGTTGCAAGATTAAAGAAGACTTTACAAAAAAGATAATAAAATAAAAAAATAAAAATAACAAAATTAAAAAAATAAAATAAAAAAAAAAAAGAAAAAAAAAGTTATGTGAGATACTTTCACCATAAACTTGTGTATAATGAGATGCTATAGAATTTTATTTGAGACTACAGTATCAATTTTAACACAACAATTGTTTACAAATAGATAAAGTTGACACCTAGTAATGAATAAACCTGCATCGTATAGATCTATACAGACAAAGTTTGCCTGAATCATATAGGGATCGCAAGAGTAGCCTCTGCTGGTGGACTCAAATCCTCGAAAATACCAAATGCCAGCATAATCATTATCCACTCTCTAATTCAATAAAACTATGGTGAAATATAAACAAAAGAAAATATTTACTAGTGACTCCAAAAAAAATACAAGGAGGATAAGACCAGATGTTCCAGAAGTGTGTGCGACTTTTGCGGCAACGACGTTACCACCAAGTCAATCCAAGTAAGTAATGTCACGTTCCCAAATGAGAACAAGGTATACAACAACGGAACCAATAGGTATGTGTCCGAACATTAACACGTTAAGGTTCATATCACAAAGAAAATAAAATATTTAGAATAGAAAAGTTTTACAATTTCACCGTTTTTAAAACAGATGATATTGTAAATGGAACCTTTAAGTATTCGGCAACACAGCTAACGAGAATGTTCGTCAGTTGAAATTTTCACCCGTCAGAATCGACATCAGATATATAAAAAATACGAAACTTATTGAATTATTGACAATTTCTCTCTATAAGTTTGATAGAAGGTGGAAGACACTGCTGGTAAACTTTAAGTCCCCGAGGTTAGCCTTAATTTGCACGCTATGTTTCATTCATTCGAATACTGGCACGGTTCAAAATTAACGGTATTCTGAAATTATCTGAGATATGAAAATATGAAATTTATTTCATCATGGGGCTACAGCATCTCCCTGTCCAGATGTTAATCTTTCTTTTGATCACTTTGGATTTTCCTCAGTGTCCTCCCAGGCTGCAAATTTCAGGCTCTTAGAACGTCACTGATTGGTTCGAGGAGGACGAAATAGCTGTATGATACAGTTTAATTCATTGTTTGGCGCTAATGTGCCAGACTCTAAATTATTGAAGGTGCTGTTCACGTGTGTGTCCTTAGTTGCTTCCTGGATTTGAAAACTGAAGACCATAAGCATCACTGACAAGTCCTAGAAGGACGAAACAGTTGTATGATTTAGCATTACTGACGAGTCCTAGAAGGGCGAAACAGTTGTATGATGTAGCATCACTGACGAGTCCTAGAAGGACGAAACAGTTGTATGATGAAGCATTACTGACGAGTCCTATAAGGACGAAACAGTTGTGTGATGTAGCATCACTGACGAGTCCTAGAAGGACGAAACAGTTGTATGATGAAGCATTACTGACGAGTCCTAGAAGGGCGAAACAGCTGTATGATGTAGCATCACTGACGAGTCCCAGAAGGACGAAACAACTGTATGATGCAGTTTGATTCATTATTTGCTCTGCTGTTTCTAATTCTAAACATGATTGTAAGTTGTTTTGTTTATCTTGTGTATCTTCTGTAAAACTTTAAATAAGTGATCAATACAATACCCCTGTAAGTCCTCTGGGTATATTGGGATTCTGACATCCAAATGTTCTAGTCTTTGGAGTGCTGTGAATGGTTAAACATATTATTCCTAATTACTAACCTAATAGATTTTATACTTGGAAATATTGCTGGACTTATTACTATTTGTATTAGTGTTATCCTTTAATGTGTCTCTAGTATAATCGTTTGAAGTTAACCGTGATACAACGTCTTTAAATTTACAAAATTCCTAAAATTACAGAGTAACTGAACCTCCCAGTCGATAGTTAAACATTAACACATTACCTTTGAGTTTGTTAAATTGCCTTTTAAATTTCCGCAGTTTAGATCCTTCAGCTTTTACCTAGACATTAGTGAATAAGGAC